CCTGCTATATGCCTGCAAAACATGGACTGTCTACAGACGTCACATGCAACTCCTGGAACTATTCCATCAGCGCTGCCTCTGGAAAATCCGTCAAATCTCTTGGGAAGACAGGCGGACAAACGTCAGCGTGCTGGAAGAAGCAAAGACCACCAGAATTGAAGAGATGCTCCTCCGCCATCAACTCCGTGGGACTGAAGGTCACGTTGTCTGAATGCCTGATCACCGTCTCCCAAAGCAGTTACTACACTCCCAACTCAAGAATGGGAAACATAACGTTGGTGGACAGGAAATGTGATTAAAAGATGGGCTTAAAACCAACCTTAAAAACTGGGAAGCCCTGGCTCTTGAGCGCTTTAACTGGAGGTCAGCTGATGACCAGCAGTGCTGCAGAATTCAAAGAGGCACAAAGGTAGGGTGAAAGGGAGAAACGTGCCAAGAGGAAGGTGCATCAAGTCAACCCCGACCGGGACTGCCTTCCACCTAGAAACCGATGTCCTCACTGTGGGAGAACATGCGGATCAAGAATAGGGCTCCAGCCACCTACGGACCCACCACCAAAACAATGCACTTGGAAGACCATCATCCTCAGGCTATGAGGGATCGCCTAAACAAACTAAAATATAAGAGGTAAAGGTAAAGGACATTAAGTCCAGTCAAGTCCAACTCTAGAGGTTGGTACACATCTCCATTTCTAAGCTGAAGAGCCGGTGTTGTCAGTAGACACCTCCAAAGTCATGTGGTTGGCATGACTGCATGGAGCACTGTTACCTTCCCGCCGGAGCAGAACCTATTGATCTACTTACATTTGCATGTTTTTGAACTGCTACGTTGGCAGAAGCTGGGGCTATCAGTGGGAGCTCACAACGCTCCCCGGATTCGAACCTGCGGCCTTTCGGTCTTGCTGACTGAATGAAACCCTGAAGTTTGGTTCAACAGCACAGCGCTTTAACCCACTGCACCAACAGAATAAATTGGGCTCTGGTGATGTGATGATGTATGTGTTGCACTCCAGATCAGGAAATGCCCTCTGACTTTAAACACCACACAGTTAAGTAGGAAAAACAATCCCTTTATTGAAGATAATTTAAAAGCATTAAAGTAAAAAAGCACTTTAAAGAAATAGGTAGATCCAATTAGGTAGGAAGATAAGCCGGAACAAAGTAGTCCAGGTAATAGTCCATCAAAGTCCATGAAAAACAAAGGCAAAAACTTCTCTAATAAAATCCAAAAAGCCAGGAAACATGAATCCAAGGCATGAATATAAAATCATAGGATCCAAGAATCAAAACCATGAAACAAAGATACTTAAGCATGAATCTTTCCAAGCAAAGCTTCCAAGAAACAAGGATGAGAACTTGACTTGATTCCAAACGATGCTTCATCTGACTACACATCCTGTACTTAGGACTTTTATCTCCTTGTTAAGGAATGTCCCAAGTGCTCAGAAATTGGTTTCACTTTAGCTTTGAGTCTCTTATCTTTCTCTCTCTGAGCCTGGCAGAACGCCGAAGCCTCTGTTCGGTTCTTCTGTTTTGACTAATCTCCTCCTGTCTATCTATTTGCTCATTAATTTCTGCAGCTGGGCCAGGTGCCAAGCGGTTTTCAAGCTCCAAATCATGGGAATTCTCTGATAGCAATTCAGGGAGCACACCATCATTCCCACACCCTTCTCATGAGAAACTACACTTTGAACAGGGATCCCCTGGTCATTCTCTGCATCAGTATCACTAACCACACCATTGCCATCTTGAAACTCACTGAAATCACTCCCCACATCTATAGCAGCCTGATTCTTAAACACCATCATAGGCTGAGCTCCTACAGTATGGTGAATGGGAGGATTCTGGAGAGAGCTGTGAGTTCAGGTTGAAGAAACACCTAACACTTCCACACTGTCCTTTACCCCAGGATCTGATTCCAGGTTTTCTGCTTTAAACTGGAATATATGAGTCTTCACTGCCAGATAATCTGAGATACACATAATAAAGGGGCAGTGTGAAAGGGCCCTTAGACTGTAGGGATCTGGGAGAAGTAATGGGGTGAGAATGATACAAGCTGCCTTGCTATTTTGGCAGGACACGATCACCTGGGCATTGTTGTTGTTACACCAAAGGAAGGAATGCAGAAAGGTCTCTACAGAAACAAAAAGGAGTAAAGTAAAAAAACACTTTAAAGAAATAGGTAAATCCAATTAGGTAGGAAGATAAGCCGGAACAAAGTAGTCCAGGGGAATAGTCCATCAAAGTCCATGAAAAACAAAGGCAAAGGATAACTCACCAGATGCCGATGTTGATCCCAGGTTCAGAGGTGAGATAGAAGTTCCTGGTGTGGTTCAAATAGACTTCGGGCTTCTGGTAGTCCACCCAAAAGGGATAACTCACTGCAAAAGGAGCTCGGTTTCAGGTTTGTATTTTATTTTATTTACAGTATTTATATTCCACCTTTCTCACCCTGCAGGGGACTCAGGGCGGATGACAATGCACATATATATGGCAAATATTCAATGCACACAACACACAACATATATAGGCAGACACTCAGAGGCTATTTAACATTCCAGCTTTTCATGAGGGTATTCTGGCCACCAGGGGAGCTGTCGCTTCATCATCCATTTGTGACACTAATGAAGTACTTCCTCATTCTTTGCATGCTTGCTGGAGATTTTTATGGTGTCGTAAATTAGTTAAGCTAATTAAATTTAGTTAGGTTAATTAATTAAGTAAATTAGTTAAGGAGCCCCCGGTGGCGCAGTGGGTTAAAGCGCTGAACTGCTGAGCTTGTTGACTGAAAGGTCACAGGTTCGATTCCGGGGAGCAGCGTGAGCTTCCGCTGTCAGACCTAGCTTCTGCCAACCTAGCAGTTCGAAAACATGCAAATGTGAGTAGATCAATAGGTACCGCTCCGTTGGGAAGGTAACAGCGTTCCATGCAGTCATGCTGGCCACATGACCTTGGAGATGTCTAGGGACAACGCTGGCTCTTCGGCTTAGAAATGGAGATGAGCACCACACCCCAGAGTCAGACACGACTGGACTTAATGTCAGGAGACAACCTTTACCTTTTTAAATTAGTTGAATTAGCCTCCCCGCATAAGCGGTACCTAAATTTCCTACTTGACAGATGCAACTGTCTTTCGGGCTGCAAAGGTTAACAGCAAGCTACACAAATTGGTGGGAAGCTCACTCTGACCACAGCCACGTTTTTATCATCCTTCTAAAGGACAAGAGGAAGGGGGCTGACCTGATCTCATTAGGAAGGGAGTTCCATAGCCGAGGGGCAATTACTGAGAAGGCCCTGTCTCTTGTCCCCGCCAAACATGCCTGTGACGGTAGTGGGACTCTGGGGGTCGGTGCTCACCTCCATTTCTAAGCCAAAGAGCCGGTGTTGTCTGTAGACACCTCCAAGGTCATGTGGCCAGCATGACTGCATGGAGCGCCATTGCATGTTTTTGAACTGCTAGGTTTGCAGAAGCTGAGGCTAAGAGTGGGAGCTCATGCCGCTCCTCGAATTAGAACCTTTGGATCAGTAAGTTCAGCAGCTCAGCAGTTTAACCCACTACACCACCGGGAGTTCCTGGGATTTATAGTTCACTTAGAATCAAAGAGCATTCTGAACCCCACCAACAATAGAAATGGGCCAAACTTCCCACACAGAACCCCCAGGACCAACAGAAAATACTCTGTTTTTTTGATGGTCTTTGGTGACCCCTCTGACACCCCCTCTGACACCCCCCGGGGTCCCGACCCCCAGGTTGAGAAATGCTGTTGTAGAAGACCTTGTCAAGCTAAGACGCAACTGTTGGGGTTCAGCCTGAGTTTGAACTTGAACCTGATTCTCTGTTTGTTCCTCCTGATGCTAATGAAAATATATTTACTGATGCTAATGAAAATGTACCTCTTGATGCCAATGCTCCTGAAATTAGTGAGGAAGAAACTTCTGTAGATTTGGAAAATGAAAGTACCAGTGTTCATGAGAATGTTTCAGAGGGAAGCCATGACCTTTCACTCCCTTCTGCACCTGGGAACTTTAATGAGAACAGAAGGGGCCAGATTTGGCAAGACAGAAGTAAATCACTCAGCTTGCGTAGGTCTTCCCGATTAAGAGAAATACAAACAATGGCTTCAAAGCAGAGGGGCGGTTCACGGAACCAATTCTTCGGCTTTAAGTGCCTTCCGCCGGGCTGACTTTCTCAGTTCAGGCATCGTTTCAGATTGATGAAGACCTTGGCAGTTCTCCCGGTTTTCCTGGCCATTGTCTTGAAAGATTTCTAGGATATCAAGTACGGTTAGTGGATTGCTAACAGGTTCCAGTATTTTACAGTGTGGCTTTGGGTTTTGTTTTTGTCCATTTAAATTCATGTTTGCTGATTTTGCTGTGGCTTTTGACTTGCATTTTTCCTTTATTTTGTAACCATTTTTCTTCAATAAAAAAGGATTGTTTTTCACAGCCAAGTGTGGTGGATAGTTATCTTAGGCCTCGTTCTCTGCTCTGGATTGCAACACGTGTGATCTTGGAGTCCTCGTGGACAACAAGTTAAACATGAGCCAACAATGTGATGTGGCGGCAAAAAAAGCCAATGGGATTTTGGCCTGCATCAAGAGGAGCCTAGTGTCTAGATCTAAGGAAGTAATGCTACCCCTCTATTCTGCTTTGGATAGACCACACCTGGAATATTGTGTCCAGTTCTGGGCACCACAATTCAAGAGAGATATTGACAAGCTGGAATGTGTCCAGAGGAGAGCGACTAAAATGATAAAAGGTCTGGAGAACAAGCCCTATGAGGAGCGGCTTAAGGAGCTGGGCATGTTTAGCCTGAAGAAGAGAAGGCAGAGAGGGGATATGATAGCCATGTATAAATATGTGAGAGGAAGCCACAGGGAGGAGGGAGCAAGCTTGTTTTCTGCTTCCCTGGAGACTAGGACGTGGAACAATGGCTTCAAACTACAAGAGAGGAGATTCCATCTGAACATGAGGAAGAACTTCCTGACTGTGAGAGCCGTTCAGCAGTGGAACTCTCTGCCCCGGAGTGTGGTGGAGGCTCCTTCTTTGGAAGCTTTTAAGCAGAGGCTGGATGCCATTTGTCAGGGGTGATTTGAATGCAATATTCCTGCTTCTTGGCAGAATGGGGTTGGACTGGATGGCCCATGAGGTCTCTTCCAACTCTTTGATTCTATGATTCTATGATTCTATGATAGATGCAAAATGCTAGATCCACCAGACACAGCTCTGTAAAATCATGGACTCTGGAGACGTCAGGTTACAAGGAAAACTCAGTTTACTAAGCACAGAGCAAAAGCACATCCATCTTCAGCGAGCGACACACAGGAACACACAAGGAAAACTGAAAATCAAAACAGTTCTTTTGCAGCTGCTTAGCTCTTCTGCTCCAGCAGAGAGCTTATCTTAAGGTCACTCAATCACAGCCTCAACATAAACATTTCAGCACAGCATTACACTCTAAGTGGCATCCATATTGGCAATACAAGAATTACATTTAAAACACACAATTATATCTCAATAAATCCTGACACTGTCTCAACAAGGAAACAGAAGCTCTTCATAATTGATATCATTACTTCTTCAAAAGACTATTATTAGTATTGTGAACTTTGGCCCTTAAGGTGCATTGGACTCCAACTCCCACAATTCCGAACAGCCTCAGGCCCCTTCCTTTCCTCCCTCAGCGCTTAAGGAGAAAAGGAAAGAGAAAAGGAAAGGGTCTGAGGCTGTTCGGAATTGGTTACATCCCGTTTAGACTACTGCAACACTCTCTACGTGGGGTTGCCTCTAAAGACTGCTCGGAAGCTACAGCTAGTCCAACGCTCGGCAGCCAGACTACTAACGGGTGCTGGGTACAGGGAGCACACCACTCCTCTGTTACGCCAGCTCCACTGGCTGCCAATTAGCTTCCGAGCACAATTCAAAGTGCTGGTGTTAACCTATAAAGCCCTAAACGACTCCGGCCCTGTTTACCTCTCCGAACGTATTCTCCCCTACGAACCATCAAGATTATTAAGATCGTCTGGAGAGGCCCTGCTCTCGGTCCCACCGGCCTCACAAGCGCGTCTGGTGGGGACGAGGGACAGGGCCTTCTCGGTGGTGGCCCCACGACTCTGGAACTCTCTCCCACTGGAGATCAGAACCGCCCCTTCTATCCTGACATTCAGGAAACAGGTGAAGACGTGGTTATGGAGACAGGCATTCGACGAGTGAGCCAACACACTGAGATATGGATGGAGGATGATGAACAACGATTTTAGTGTGACGACTGACCATTGTAGTTATTGAATGTAATTGTTGTTTTAATGTTTTACTGTAATATGAATTATGTTGTTTTACTGACTGTATGTGATTTTATGGTTGGAAACCGGTCTGAGTCCCTCAAAAGAGGTGAGAAGGTCGGTATACAAAACGTTTAAATAAATAAATAAATAAATTGTGGGAGTTGGAGTCCAAAACACCTGGAGGGAGGGCCAAAATTTGCCCATGCCTGGTTTATACAATAGCACTAGGCTTGGGCGATCAAGAAAAAAATTGGTTCTAAACTCGTTTTGTTTCTAGGGTGCGCTAGCGTTTCGAAATTCTGAGGACTTCCAAAATTTAAGATTTCAAAATTTCGAAATTTCTGAAATTTCGTAAATTACGAATCGATTCGTTAATGGCGGACGCGATTGCGCAATATGCTAAAAAAACCTCCAAATGGGACAGGGAACTTCTGAAGCTTCCCTCTCCCTCTGTTGTTGACTGTTGGTGTGATAAAACAAACAACAACTATATTATATTATATTATATTATATTATAATTATATTATAATTATATTATAATTATATTATTATATATGTTGTACATTATATTATAATATTATTATATTATATTATTGTATATTATATTATATTATATATTATATTATATATATTATATATTATTATTATAATATTATTATATTATATATTATTATTATAATATAATATATATAATATAATATAATAATTTATTATATTATTTTATTATTATATTATTATATTATATTATTGTATATTATATTATTTATTATATATTATTATATTATATTATAATATATTATATAATATATAATATAATAATATAATATAATATACAATACAATGCACCAGACATACGAAAATAATTACGAAATAATTACGAAAATTGAAAAAAAATGTTTCGATTCTTAATTACTCCTCACACTATTCCTGCATGGCTCGATATTGGATCGTAAGCTAATTTAAATACGAATCAATAACGAAATACAAAAATAACGAACTGGATCGCCCAAGCCTAAATAGCACATACAATTTCAGTAGGAATACTTACAAAAATTGAGGTAGACAAACTTTTGCAACAGCGGAGGAAACAGCCGGATGAGGAATGGCAAGGAAGCATACAAAACGAAAAAATTCAGCAGCCCCGTCTTGATTTTATGGGCTTGGAACCACTCCAGAAATTCCCTGGGGAGGAAAAGAGAATACGTGGGTTAATATGTGCCTTGATTACAATCGTTGCCGTCAGCATCATGTTCTCTCCGGGGTCTCCTTTCATCTCCTACCTGATCCTTTTCAACTGGCAATGCCACAGACACAAATGGGGACCTGTTCAACATCTTTACTAATGACTTAGATGAAGGGCTAGAAGGCAGGATCATCAAGTTTGCAGACGACACCAAATTGGGAGGGAGAGCCAATACTCCAGAGGACAGGAGCAGGATTCAAAACGATCTTGACAGATTAGAGAGATGGGCCAAAACTAACAAAATGAAGTTCAACAGGGACAAATGCAAGATACTCCACTTGGCAGAAAAAATGAAATGCAAAGATACAGAATGGGGGACAATGCCTGGCTCGAGAGCAGTACGTGTGAAAAAGATCTTGGAGTCCTCGTGGATAACAAGTTAAACATGAGCCAACAATGTGATGTGGCGGCAAAAAAAGCCAATGGGATTTTGGCCTGCATCAATAGGAGCATAGTGTCTAGGTCCAGGGAAGTAATGCTACCCCTCTATTCTGCTTTGGTTAGACCACATCTGGAGTATTGTGTCCAATTCTGGGCACCACAATTCAAGAGAGATATTGACAAGCTGGAATGTGTCCAGAGGAGGGCGACTAAAATGATCAAGGGTCTGGAGAACAAGCCCTATGAGGAGCGGCTTAGGGAACTAGGCATGTTTAGCCTGAAGAAGAGAAGGCTGAGAGGAGATATGATAGCCATGTATAAATATGTGAGAGGAAGCCACAGGGAGGAGGGAGCAAGCTTGTTTTCTGCTTCCCTGGAGACTAGGACGCAATGGAACAATGGCTTCAAACTACAAGAGAGGAGATTCCATCTGAACATGAGGAAGAACTTCCTGACTGTGAGAGCCGTTCAGCAGTGGAACTCTCTGCCCCGGAGTGTGGTGGAAGCTTTTAAACAGAGGCTGGATGGCCATCTGTCAGGGGTGATTTGAATGCAATATTCCTGCTTCTTGGCAGAATGGGGATGGACTGGATGGCCCATGAGGTCTCTTCCAACTCTTTGATTCTATGATTCTATGACTCTATGGGAGGGAGAGCCAAGACTCCAGAGGACAGGAGTAGGATTCAAATCCATCTCCACAGATGAGAGAGATGAATGGCCAAAACTAACAAAATAAAGTTCAACAGGGACAAATGCAAGATACTCCACTTTGGCAGGAAAAATGAAATGCAAAGATACAGAATGGGGACGCCTGGCTCGAGAGCAGTACGTGTGAAAAAGATCTTGGAGTCCTCGTGGACAACAAGTTAAACATGAGCCAGGAATGGGATGTGGCGGCAAAAAAAGCCAATGGGATTTTGGCCTGCATCAAGAGGGCCGGGTCACAGTCCCGCAAACTGTTGGAGGGCCAGATTATAATTTGAAAAAAAAAATGAATGAATGAATTCCTATGCACTCTGCACATATATTATTTGCAGTGCAACCCCCCCCCCCCCAAAAAAAAACAAAAAACAAAAACCCACACTTCTATATAAATAAAAATGTAATGTTCGTTTGTGGGATTAACAGAACTCAAAAACGACTGGACAAATTCCAGTTCAGGACTTGAACAGCCTCCTTAGTAGCAGGTGGGAAGGAGTGAGAGAGCTGGACATCATCTGCGAACAGACGAAACTGTACCTCGAAACTCTGGATGATCTCCCCCAAAGGCTTCATGTAGATGTCAAACAACATAGGGGATTGTACTGTGGGAGCCCACAGTACAATGGCCGTGGGGCCGAGCAGGAGTCCCCTAACAACACCTTCTGGGAGCAACCCTCCAGGAAGGACTGGAGCCACTGCAAGGCAGTACCTCCAAGGACCACTCCCAGAAGGATACCGTGGTCAACAGTATCGAAGGCCGCTGAGAAGTCCAGCAGAACCAACAGGGACAAACTCAATTCTTTCACACCAGAAGTGACTTGCAGCATGTAACCAATCAAACAAACAGACCTTTTCAGGATCAACCATGACAATGATCTCAATCAGCGTTTCTCAACCTGGGGGTCGGGACCCCTGGAGGGGTCGCCAAAAACCATCAGAAAACACTGTATTTTCTGTTGGTCATAGAGGTTCTGTGTGGGGAGTTTGGCCCAATTCAGTCGTTGGTAGTGTTCAGAATGCTCTTTGACTGTAGGTGAACTATAAATCCCAGCAACTACAAACTCCCAAATGTCAAGGTCTATTTTCCTCAAACTCCACCAGTGTTCACATTTGGACAAGTTGCCATTCTATCGTTGGTGGAGTTAAGAATGCTCTTTGATTGTAGGTGAACTATAAATCCCAGTAACTACAACTCCCAATGTCAAGGTCTATTTCCCCCAAACCAGCAGAGTTCACATTTGGGCATATTGATTGTCATGCCAAATTTGGTCCAGATCCATTATTGTTTGAGTCCACAGCTCTCGGGATGTAGGTGAACTACAACTCCAAAACTCAAGGTCAATGCCCACCAAACCCTTCCAGTATTTTCTGTTGGTCATGGGAGTTCTGTGTGCCAAGTTTGGTTCAATTCTATCATTGGTGGAGTTCGGAATGCTCTTTGAATGTAGGTGAACTATAAATCCCAGGAACTAGAACTCCCAAATGTCAAGGTCTATTTTCCCCAAACTCCAGCAATGTTCACATTTGGGCATATTGAGTATTTGCCAAGTTTGGTCCAGATCCATCATTGTTTGAGTCCACAGTGCTCTCTGGATGTAGGTGAACTACAACTCCAAAACTCAAGGTCAATGCCCAGCAAACCCTTCCAGTATTTTCTGTTGGTCATGGGAGTTCTGTGTGCCAAGTTTGGTTCAATTCCATCATTGGTGGAGTTCAGAATGCTCTTTGATTGTAGGTGAACTATAAATCTCAGTAACTACAACTCCCAATATCAAGGTCTATTTCCCCCAAACTCCAGCAGAGTTCACATTTGGGTATATTGATTGTCATGCCAAATTTGGTCCAGATCCATTATTGTTTGAGTCCACAAAACTCTTGGGATGTAGGTGAACTACAACTCCAAAATTCAAGTTCAATGCCCATCAAACCCTTCCAGTATTTTCTGTTGGTCATGGGAATTCTGTGTGCCAAGTTTGGTTCAATTCCATCCTTGGTGGAGTTCAGAATGCTCTTTGATTGTAGGTGAACTATAAATCCCAGCAACTACAACTCCCAAATGACAAAATCAATCCTCCACCCAACGCCACCAGTGTTCAAATTTGGGTGTATCGGCTATTTTTGCCAAATTTGGTCCAGTGAATGAAAATACATCCTGCATATTAGATATTTACATTATGCTTCAGAACAGTAGCAAAACTACAGTTGTGAAGTAGCAACGAAAATAATGTTATGGTTGGGGGTCACCACAACATGAGGAACTGCATTAAGGGGTCACGACATTAGGAAGGTTGAGAACCACCAATCTCAATCAACATCGAAGGTATTCGGTTGCCAAAGAACAGCTGCTTTATAAACTGTGCCGAGATCAGAAATCAAACAGTATTTTATTCCATGAACGAGAAATGATTTGCCATTTCTGTCTAACATGGATGGTCATCTGTCGAGACGGCTTGGATTGTGGATTCCTATAAGGCAGAACAGCATTGAGCTTTTTCTTCACACTTTAGTTTTCTCTGATTCTGAATTATTCTGAGCATCTCACTTTAAGCATTGCAAGAAATGCGAGGAATGCTGGAAAATGTCAGGCGGAGGCAAAATTCTTATTTGGAGGGCGATGCCCTCATTTTGCCTGCCTCCAACCAACTCAGAACTATACTCCATTCAATCTGGGTATGATAATCGGGTTTATTATGTAACAGCACAGGCTGGATTAAGGCTGCTAACGAGCAAACCCAGCAATCCTTGGAGAGGCCAAGGAGGGGAAATCACTAATCCAGATTTGAATGCAGGTTTATAGGGTTGTAGTCAAACTACACAAGGAAACGGTGCTGTCACGCGCTGGGCCTATAGCAATTGGCTTTTGAACAGGACGTGCTCTTTGTATAGGAAAATCCTTGGGCCCCTCTTTGAACAGGATGTGCTCGTTGTGCCCAGCGGGAAGCCGAGGTGCCTCAGCTGAGAGGCCCTAAGGATTTTCCTATACAAAGTCTTTAGAAGCTTGAAAAGTTTAACAAGGTCCTTTATTATTGCTTAGGTCTTCAACAAAACAATCAAATACTTCTCAGATCTTCCTGGAGGGTCGCTCCCAGAAGGTGTTGTTAGGGGACTCCTGCTCGGCCCCACGGCCATTGTACTGTGGGCTCCCACAGTACAATCCCCTATGTTGTTTGACATCTACATGAAGCCTTTGGGGGAGATCATCCAGAGTTTCGAGGTACAGTTTCGTCTGTTCGCAGATGATGTCCAGCTCTCTCACTCCTTCCCACCTGCTACTAAGGAGGCTGTTCAAGTCCTGAACTGAATTTGTCCAGTCGTTTTTGAGTTCTGTTAATCCCACAAACGAACATTACATTTTTATTTATATAGAAGTGTGGGTTTTTGTTTTTTGATTTGGGGGGGGGGGGGGGGGGGGGGTTGCATTGCAAATAATATATGTGCAGAGTGCATAGGAATTCATTCTTTTTTTTTTCAAATTATAATCTGGCCCTCCAACAGTTGGCGGGACTGTGACCCAGCCCTCTTGATGCAGGCCAAAATCCCATTGGCTTTTTTTGCCGCCACATCACATTGTTGGCTCATGTTTAACTTCCTGTCCACGAGGACTCCAAGATCTTTTTCACACGTACTGCTCTCAAGCCAGGCATTGTCCCCCATTTTGTATCTTTGCATTTAGTTTTTCCTGCCAAAGTGGAGTACCTTGCATTTGTCCCTGTTGAACTTCATTTTGTTAGCTTTGGCCCATCATCTCTCTAATCTGTCAAGATCCCTTTGGATCCTGCTCCTGTCCTCTGGAGTATTGGCTCTCCCTCCCAATTTGGTGTCGTCTGCAAACTTGATGATCCTGCCTTCTAGCCCT